AGAGAGAGAGAGAGAGAGAGAGAGAGAGAGAGAGAGAGAGAGAGAGAGAGAGAGAGAGAGAGAGAGAGAGAGAGAGAGAGAGGGCCCAATTCACTCCCTGTCTCTAAACCTTTTGTAACCTTTTCTTTTCTTTTCTTCTTCTTCTTCTTCCTCCCTCTTTTTTTTTTTTTTTTTTTTTTTTCCGGTATTTTCCCGGATGCAGGTCCGGCCGAACATCATGCTCTGTCCGGGTCCGGGTCGGGGGTAACCATGAGAAATCCTAAAGCAGAAAATTGCCACATGGTATGACGGCTCAGTTCCTGGAGGAAAAGAGAAGGCATGCGAAAGGATGGACATGATCCAAAGCTGTTATCACCAGGACCTCAGCCTGGAAAGAACGGATGCGGATAGTGGGATTATTTCCTTTCTGGAAACTAACCTTATTGTGACCGATTTTCCGGCATGGGTACACATGACCCATAGGTTCAAAAATATGGACTCTATTTGGGGAGGAGGGGTTAGGCACTTTAAGACAATCAAGGATTACGGCTCATTTGGGGACAAGAGCCAGAAATGGGTTGTTGTGGCTGGTGCAATTTGGCGCATTAAGCAGAACACGAACACGAGATGGGCTGCTTGGCTCAGCCTGATCACTCTCAGCAAAGAAATCAGAGGGCTGGGATACCTAGTCGAGGCCTTTGTTTCAGGAATCTCGAAAGTGGGAAAAAAGAGCGGTGGGTTCTGGGAAGACCTGGCACTTCATCTGACAAAATGGTACAGTAAGAATTGACCCGGGATTGGGGTCCAGGCTTACATCGCAACTCCACTCTGCCAACGGCTTCTGAGGACCGGCTCGCGCTGATATTTTCTGAGGAAAACTACCGAAGGCCAGCTAACGGTAACTTCTGATAATGCATGCAGAGGGGAAAGGATAAAGAAGTTGCAAACGGCATGATTTACCTTACCTTGGCACAACCGAAGGCCCTAAGTCATCGAATGACAACCGAAGAAATTGTACCGTTTAGGATCCTTTGACTTGTTTTTGTTTTTTGACATATTCGTTTTTCTTTTTCAGCCTTTTAGTTTTTTTAGTCTTTTAGCATATTTTTTCAGATTATTGTGCAAGACGTCGAACCCGTTGGAGGACAAGTGAGGTAGTTCCCAAGCAAAGTAGATAGTATATAATGGATTGATATAGAGTGCGGGAAGCACTTTTCGACCTGAGTAGTATAAGGGCAGAAGGATCGTGATCGCTTGTGTTGCTTAGCGATGCTGGTCATCATGATAATAGTACTACGAGAGTAATGCCCTCATTGTCATGATAAAATTTTGTGTTTATTGAAGAGACAACATCTTTGGATTCCTAGCCCAAAAGTTCAACACCCAAAATAGCAAGCGGAGAAAAATCAAACCAAACTATAATTATAATAAAAATTAAACTAGAATAATAATAAAAATTTTGTCAATTTGGGCCCTACGCACTATTAATATCGCACGTCTAACAGGACATGTGAATTGTTCCTCGCCTATAGTTATGTTGTATAATTTTTCATTCTATCTCTATATCAGATCAACGTTGAAAGCCTTGTATCAAAGCACAAAAATGTCGAAGATTCTTGATATAAGCCTGTTCTTTTATAGCATATAAAAGCGAAGCCTCTACAAGAAGAAAAATAATTATGTCGCAGAACACGCTGCACCCACCCTCAACATACACGCTTCAAGCAGACATCAGTCTAGTCGTGCTCACAGAGAATGAACACGGCCACCATGGGCTGTCAAGACCAGTTGTATACAGGGGCAACAAATGAGGTTAACATACATCGACACTACCGTCTTAAGCCGAAAACAAGGTACGTACCTTGTTTTCAAGTTACCTATGAAAAACGAGTTTTGGGAAATCTCTGCTAAATTTTCGTATAAAAGGTACCCTCAAATACAAGGTATGCCTTGTCTGTTTGGAATAGAAGGTACCCTTCAGACTCTAAATTCTACTTCGTGCGAGCTATATAACCTCATGCAGTTGTAGAATCGAATTGTTATTTTTTCCAAAAAAAAAAAAACTTCACGTTGCAACCCCATCCTGGTAGTAGTTAACGCGCGTCATGTTCACCTGTGTAAGTACGGGACTTGCGGTAGCAGCACGCAGAGACTCGGTCCATATATATGGTGGTTATTCATCCTGTCCATATAAAGGAACCCCAAATATATGCGATTGCATCTGAGTCATCCCGTCCTTTGCTGAGCTTAAGCCAAAGTCTTATAGCGTCCGTGGGAATAAGGGAGAGGTACTAAGCTACTTCTTTTTGCCTTTTTTTCACATAGTGAGTTACTTCGGGGAAGTTAATTCAAACAATTATGC